TGAGAAGGCGTCGTTCGGCATCCTTCCTGCTGAGGGCTTTGAAAAACCAACTGCAAGAAATGACACACTGTTTACAAAGTTCTATCCACAGCCCATTGTGCGTTCTATAGTTTTAAATAAGCGACCGCAGCTATTCTGACTTAAAATGAAACAAGGTGAGGATATTGCTTATTGCAGAAGAAAAAGCCACATTTACATTCTAATTTGAAACCTTTCTTGGTCACTCTGCAAAATGAGTACTCCCAGAATGACGTACAGTAAATATTTCCACTACAGCTTATAAAATATACTATTTTAATTAATATATTTATATGGATCCACAAGAACAAAGGAGAGCTTACAAAAAGAAGATTGTAGTATCACACATTCCCAAAATATAAAGGGCAAAATATTTTGTTTCTTGAGAAACCATTCCCAAATTAGCCCATCTACCTTAAGAACAAAACCATTTACCATTTGCCCAGTAGATATCTTTTCATCCTGTAAATTTTGCCCTTTATATTTTTGTCATGGACAACCAAGAAAACAAGCCAATGGATCATTGAACAAATCAGGCCAGATTTTACATTTGAGGCACAAAGGACTAGCTTCAATTGTTATATTTTGGGCATATTGGGTGAATACCCAGTTCTCTTGAAAGTCCATATGGTTGGGAAAGATGGAAAGAAGGAGAAGAAGAGGACAAGCAGCAACAAGGAGGAGGGACTCAATTACAGTGGTGAAGAGTAAAACACAAGAACACCTGAAGAACTAGGTTGAAAACATTTTACCCTGAGAAAAACCCACAGAAAGTAAACACAGTGGTGACTAGACCACGATCCTGATGGATCAAGGCAGAAAACCCTACACCATTTCAGACAAATGGCTGTCCAGTCTCTTCTTAAAAACTTCCAGTGTTGGAGCATTCACCGCTTCTGGAGGCAGGTTGTTCCACTGGTTAATTGTTCTAACTGTCAAGAAATTTCTCCTTAGTTCTAGGTTGCTTCTCTCTTTGGTTAGTTTTGGTTAGATGGAGGTTGTGTTTTTTGTGTAACCTCTAAATGCTCTCCAAGTATAGCTTCTGTGGAACATCTTGCAGTCAGGCCTCCGGTGTGGTTCCCACAAAGACCAAAGTCCCTGTGACCACTTCCCTTGTGGTATCCACAATATGCCCTCAAATCTCATCAGCCAAAATGATTCGGGTGGACAGATGCCTTGCGGTAAAAAAGGAACCATCTACTTCCGCAGGGTAGCAAAGTATGAGGATGGCCTTAAAGAAGGAAAATGTCAGCTTAGCCTGAAACACAACCAGGCATGAAGGAGAAACTCAAGTTAGCCCCCCGTCCCCTGATCATCTTTGTTGCTCTTCTCTGCACTCTTTCTATAGTCTCAACATCTTTTTTTACATCGTGGCGACCAAAACTGGATGCAGTATTCCAAGTGTGGCCTTATCAAGGCCTTGTAAAGTGGTATTAACCCTTCAAGTGATCTTGATTCTATCCCTCTGTTAATGCAGCCCAGCACTGTGTTGGCCTTTTTGGCAGCTGCAGCACACGGCTGGCCCATGTTTAAGTGATTGTCCATTAGGATTCCAAATTCCCCCTCAAAATTACTACTATTGAGCCAGGTACCCCCTATATATATCTGTGCCTTTGGTTTTTCTTGCCTAAATGTAGAACCTTACTTTGTTCACCATTAAATTTCATTTTGTTAGATAGGGCCCAATGTTCAAGTCTGTCAAGATCTTTCGGAATCTTAAGCCTGTCTTCTGGAGTGTTGGCTATTCCTGCCAACTTGGTGTCATCTGCAAATTTGCGGAGTTCCCCATCTATCCAGTCATCTAAATCATTCATGAAGATATTGAAGAGTACGGGGCCTCTTGGGGGTACCCCACTGCATACTTTCCTCCATAGATGCAGTTCCATTGAGGACTACATGTTGAGTGCGGTTTGTCAGCTAGTTATGAATCCATCCAGTGGTGATGCTGTCTATGCTATGAAGTAGTAGGTTGTGGTCTACTTTATCAAAGGCCTTACTAAAGTCCAAGTAAATTATATCCACAGCATTTCTCTGGTCCACTAATTTTGTCACTTTGTCAAAAAAATGCAATAAGATTTGTCTGGCATGATCTGTTTCTGACAAACCAATGATGGCTTTTGGTTATGACTTTGTTTGCCTTTACAGGTGTTCGCAGATTCGTTGCTTGATTATTTTTTCCAGAATCTTCCCAGGTATTGATGTCAGGCTGATAGGGCTCTGGTTTCCTGAATCCATTTGTTCACATGTTCTTGTGATATGTGCAGATTTCCCCCCTTTTGTAGCTCTACTCAGATTTGCTGTTCATTTGCTTTTGTTCCACAATAGAAATTCACAGGACCAATGAAATAGTCTCTGACAGCATCATCTTCTTCCTTGCTCAGTCTTCTCTAAACTGGTGCCTTCCAAAGATGCAAGACCACCTCTTGCAGTTGGTTCTAGAATTCCCCTTTCTGGGAGCTGAAGTCCACAGGTCTTCAAGTTGCTGAGACTGAGATTGTTGGACCACATATTAGGAATATTTAACTCCTTTTACTGGGTACCAGGTTGGAGAAGAGGAGCTGAGCTGACAGAGAAAGACTTGGCTTTAGCAACTGTATATATTTGCGTGAATGCCTACATTTTTTTAAAAAAAGAAAAGTATAATAGACACACAAGTTTTTATTCCACAGAAAAAATATAGAACACAAACAAAAACACGTTCATTCCTTTAGTAGTGTACCTGCGTAAGTAGCATTTATATTCTGCTGCGAAAATAAAATTGAAACAAATGAAAATTTCTAAATGCAATCAACAGCTAGACAGATTTATCAATACATTAATTTACCACTGGCCTGAACTTGAGTAAGGATGATTTGGATTGAGGTTTAAACCTCTTATCATTACACTCAGTCCTTGACTTACAACCATAATTACAACCCAAAGATTTGTTGTTAAGTGCTGTGATTGTTAAATGAAGCATCAGGTGATCACACCTGATTTTACAACCTGTTTTGCCATGGTTGTTAAGCAAGGCACCATGTGATCTTGACCTTGCTTGTCGAAAGCTGGCTACAAAGGTTGCAAATGATGATCACGCAATTATATGATGCTACATTTCAAGGACCAGTTGTCACATTTTTCAGCACCATTGTAACTTTGAACGGCCATTAAACAAATGGTTGTAAATCAAGGTTTACCTGTTTTGATACCCTTAAAAACACAGCTTGTCTGTGGCTACGGGCATGGTGAAGAACAGTTGTTTCTACTCACGGCTCTTGTTCCAGTGTGTTCAACTTGGCGACAAAGTTGCATGGTATATAGCCCACTTGCCCTGTGGTGAGAGACTGAGCTTTCCACCATTCCCCTGTCCTAAAAGAGAGAAGAATTGTCTGTCCGTCTCCTTATTCTTCAACCCCATCCCTACCCAAGAGACAAAGGCAGAGAATGAACCCCAACTGAGGCATGGACAACCTTATTTCTCCTTCTTCCAGTGTGTGTTCCTTTAGCCATGCCAGCTGGACGCCAGGCATCAGTCATCCCCAAACAGGGAGCTCCTTTCCATTATCACAGTATAACGTTTGCACAATGAATTTTTGTGATGTGTTTTATCAAAAGGAACCCCACCATCCCTCCACCCAGGGCAGTGAACCTGGGTGGGATATACTCCAACACCAGAGTACCCATTGGGAAGAGCAGAAGTGTCCAATAGATCAAGATGGCTACTGCAGCTTGCCAATCAAAGCCCGACCCCTTTTTTTATACACTGCACAACTTATGAATGTACAAAACATTAGAGGCAGTAAATGAATTTGCGTGCCTTGGTAAAAAGTCTCTACTCAGAGACTGAATTCAACCATGGCAAAACTATGGAATTCTCACATTGTTTTGGTTTGTGTTTGTGTGTTTTTGCATGCGTGTGTGTGTGTATACATATACATACTTACAAGTTCTTGCAGTTTTTTATCAGTTGAGCTAAATTAATTTTGAGGAATCTCACAGCCCACTTAGAAACCTTTCACAGTATAAATGTACATCTAAATCCTCATTGGCCCATATTACTGATATTAACATGATTAGAAGCTGCACTTCCTGGTGGAAGGCAAGCCTTCAGTGCAGCGTGAGCTGTTTTCAGACAGAAGAGTTAATCCCTTTTGCTGATGAACCACGTAGTGCCCCACAATAGAAACCAACTTACTCTTCTACTATCCTCAGCTGTTCTCCTGTTCGAAGCAGCAGATCGCCTTCATGAGTTGATTCATAGTCATAGAGGGCAACCACAAGTTTATCTAGAAAGGGCAGGAACATATTTTTATAAAACAAAACAGGATTCTGAGTAAAGGCTGCTAGGAATAGAAGGAAAGGAGTTAGTTGCAGAAGACTATGAACATGTGTGAAGACCATGGGGAAAGATATTGTGAGAATGCAACATAAAAGAGGCTGGGGGTGAAGAAAGGTATATTGAAGAGAATGGCTGCTGGAAAAAATCAGTCAAGAAATAAATATATATAGAGAGAAAATAATTGCAAACAACCTACTCAAGCACAACATTTACAATTAAAGGAGTCAGAAAGAATTATTCTAAAGGAAACAAAATGCCAAGCGCCGAGGAAATCAGGAGATTCAGGTAGTTCATATGAGTATAAAGATTTATTGCAAGCTTAAGCTGTCTACAAGAATTTGACCAACTGGCGGTTAAGGGAAACGAATGGGAGGTAAGAGAAATATTCAAAGTGAGTTTGACTTGGATGGCACTTGTGTCTTATGAATGTTTGGCCCCTCCCGCGAGCTCAGCCTGGTCATCTCCTACACAAAATATTGCTTTCAGTGAGTGAAGAGGGCTATGTAAGAAACCTCTAACACCATGAAACAATTTAAAACTTAAAGTGGTGAAATCATACGGAGTGAAACTGAAGTGAGGGAAAGCTGGAAGGAGTATTTTAAACATTTATATGGAACGGAGAGTGGTGTGTTGAAGAATGGAATCAAAAGAAATGCAATCAATATTCAATGAGAAGGGGGGGAAAGTCACAAACGCTGTGAATATGTCGGAAAATAAGGCTGCAGGTGTTAAAATATGCTTATGGATCATCTGTGCAAAATTTATTTAACACCCGTGTGAAGACTGTGTCTATGACTGGAGAAATCCTGCTGTTATCCTTATACCCAGGGATAGTAGTAGGAAATTTGCAAAACTACAGGGATATTACTCTGCCTTGGAAGATGATGCCCAACTGAATGAGTATGCAAGTTATCAATCAACGAAATTGAGAAAGTGCAGTGTGGCTTTATTCTAGGCAAGGGTTGAACAGAACTGTCCTTTTCAGCAGGTCACTAAAGCATGTATGAATGTGAGGAAGTTTATTATGTATTTGTTGATTTAGAGAAAGTGTATCCTAAAGCAAATAGTTATGAAATGTGGAATTGGTTGACCTCTGAAAGTAGTAAGAGTGGTTTATGACAAAAGCAAAGAGCATGAGAATCAGTTAAATGCTTAGCAAGTAGTTAATATTTGACCAAGGAATAAATCAAGGAAGGTTATTGTCATTTTTGCTTTTTAATGAGTTTATGGAAAAATATTTTTAAAAATTCTATTGGTGACATTAGACATGTATTGGTTGCGGACAAATGTGTACGCATGTAAACAATGCCATTTTGTTGACTGATTACATATTATTGCAGCAACAGTTGTAAAGATTGATCTGATGTAAGAAGGAGTATGAATCCAAAATTAATCTACCAGGTATCAAGATATGGGTGTCTAACAGAGGAGCAAAGAATTGCAAGTTATACATAAATGGTGAACAATTAAAGGAAGTACATGAATTTATTGCCCCTAGTAAAATATTTGTTGAAAATAAAAAATTGTGAGACATGCTTTTGAAAAGCTGTGAATAATATGTCATTTATCTCAAGGAATGAAAGTTTGCTGAAAGAAGAAAAATAACAGCAAATTAGCCTGCTACTGTCCACTTAGTTTTACGGAAATAAGAGTTGAGTTTATCAGGAAAGGCAATTAGTTTGGTGTAGCTTTATGGCACTATTCTAGAATTTGGCAAATGTAAAGTCCCTTTGAGCCCAAAGCAAAGTTTGTAAATAGAAAGTGTGTTTATCTTTGTTTTTTTCCCAGCTTTATTCTATAATCTTTTAAGCTTATTCTGAAATTATCAATCTTTTATTAATGTTTGGAAGAGTAATGAGCTCTTTGAGCATGCTTGCAAATAATAAAAAAAAAGGACAGAATTGTGTTCCTGCCCAGTCTGACTTCTGAGGGAAGACCTAAGCAAGGGCGAGAAAGTATTCTGCTTGGGAATTGGTTTTGTTTTCCTGACAGCCATTATGACTCATATTTTTACATTTTCAAACACACCCACCAGCCACCCAAATTCTGAGGAACTAACAAAACAAACAACATTTGACCCAGCTAAAACAACTGAAACAATTGGTTAGAGGGGATGGTTAGAGGAATCAAGCATCGGAGAGATTCATCTGAATATTCTTCTGAATATATCGGAGCAATAATTTTTCTAAGATGTGGGCCACGCTTCTGCAATCTCTCCCACCTGTTGATAAACTGATGCGGTCCCCTTATTTTGTTCTCTGCCCTACGTTTGCCCCCAACCCCTCAACTTGCCAACCAATCCTAAGATGCCACAGATTATTTGCATTGCTAAGAAAACCAGATTCTCTTTGCATAGCTTGGCCAACATCCAAAGCTGAAAGGAAAATAAAACACTCACCTTGGAGGGGTGAACTAGGCGGAGGAATCCCTTCGGCCGCCAACAGAGGAGTGTGCAACTCAGAACCATTTAAAGTGGGTTTCTGCAGGAGAGACAGTGCTAAAATCAAACATCCTTTAATTGCAAGAAAGGCGAAAAGTGAGGTAAAACCGTTTTCAAATGTGATGGAAGAAAGCCGGAACTAAAATGCTTCTTCCTCACCCAAATGAAATTATTATTATTCTCTGATAGTCTTACGACACTCCATATCTGGCTAAAATGAAAATTGATCCTGCCAGCTGCGAAATCAGGTATACAACTGGGTCAGAGATAGAACATGTTTTTTTAAAAAAAAAAAATAAATAAAGCTGGACTATACAAGTTAGGATGTGGGAGTTTTGGTGTGAGGCTTTATACCAGTGTTTCCAACCTTGGCAGTTTTAAGATGGGCATCTCAAAACTGCCAAGGTCAGGAAATGCTGCTTAGACAGCGCAGTGTATACCATGCGTACAATAGGTCCCCAATGCGTTTTCAAAAAGGAGGTATGAGATTAATGTGCAAATGAGCAAACCAGAGCAATGAGTGAGATTTCTCACCTGTGGCTTGGTGGCTGGATCAATAGGATAATGACACACCTCACAAATTTCAGCGTCTATAGCCCAGTCATCATCATCATAATCTAAACTGCAGCAGCAACCCATAATGTCTGCAAAGACAGGAGAAGAGACCGAGACACAAACAAGTCATGAGCCCAGGTTGAGAACTCTGAACATCTAAGTAAGATCTTCAGCAAAACGCATGAAATTAGAAATGAAAACAAATAAATGCAAAATGAAATGAATTGGTAACAAAATACATTGCCCATCACCCATGATCTTCCTTGAATTAACTATCAGCAGCAATACCATCACTTGCTCAGAGCACGTCATACCGCAGTGGCTACACTGAGTTGGTGGAACAGGGGCAATACTTGGAAATCACATTTCCTCATATCAACCAATTCTGTTTTTCAGTCCTGGAGAAATATGACATCCCTCAAGAGGTACTATAAGTAGTCCTCAACTTATGACCAGAGTTGAGCGTAAAATTTCTGTTGCTCAGCGAGGCAGTTGTGGGCAGCAAATTACGGTCAACCAGGATGGGGGGAGGGGAAAGACTGAGGTTAAAAGAACAGAAGCTGCCTTTTGTTAATATGATGCCCCAGTTTTTGTGGCTTTTCTGGAATGAAGTAGCCTTCATGCAAATGTTATGTGTTTCAAATATTTCTGTATATTTTTCAATTTCAGAAAGCAGGCTAAAGATTTTGGATTTCTGACAGCTTTGCAACACACTGTCTTAACTAACTGATGCCTAAGAGTGTGGGTGTGGGTGTAAACCATGGTTTAAATGACTGCTTCCAAATGTGTTATTCTGAAATAGATTCTAAACAAGAATCGCCTTTGACACTTCCTGGAAGACCATTTTAGAGAACTACTGTACAAAATAAACAAAATGGCCCCAACATCTAACAAGCATGTTGGTAACGCTTTGTTCCTTGCTAATAACCCTGCATTCTTAACAATAGCTTTAAAAGCATAAATCCAAATGATCCACATCGATGCAGCTTCCAATCCAAAATGACGTCTGTTGAATTCTCACCCTCCTGCTTGAAGGTAGAACTGCTGCGCACAGCAAAAAGCAAGCAAGGTTGATTCCGAAAAGGTTGCTTTTCTTTAAATTCTGCAACTTTAGTTTCAATTCTGTAACCTGCCTTCTTCTTCTTTTTTTTTTTTCAAGTTCCACATTCCGAAATAGCCTTCTTTCATTGGAAGAGAATAAGAACAGATGTTGGAAGCTTTAAGTGTGGTTCTCCTTCTAATATCTCCTTGAACACCATAATTGATTCACAAAATTCCCACCGTTTCTAGTTGAACTCCAAGGTTCAGCATTCAGAACAGGCATTTTTGCAATCTTGTTATATCAACGGAAAACATTTCCTCAGGAATTTAAACATGGAACTGGATCTATCCTATAGGCTGTTTCAAAACACACAGGGTATTGCTGGGGAAGTATATTTTTTTAAAACAAAGGTCGATAAAACAGGGTAGAGAGTTACAGAATCAGCCCTTATATGACACAAAGTGACTTGGCTGCTTCAGGCAATAGATTTAGTTTGTTCCAGGTAGGCAATTGATGTTTCTTACCAGGTAAGGAGAGGAAGAAAAATGTGATATTTTTTCTCCCTTCATTCTTTGACTTGACACTTTATCTCTATTCTTTAGCCAAGAAAAGCATCTTGGCTGAGCCCTGTGTTCAAATCTTCAATCAACCACATTTTTCCTAGGCTCTGCATTACCTTTAAGCATATTTACCAAATAAATTATCTTATTCACTTTGGGATGTATTTCTGACCAATCGAAAGAGAATGAGATTGTCCTCTAAGTGAACAAAGGTAATCTGGCAGGATCATTACAGGTCCCAGAGCAAGGTTTTATTGTTGTGTGCTTTCAGATCAGTCTTGATCACAGGCAACTTTCTGGACAAGCCCATGACATTTTGTTGCTAATAGTGTTAATGGGTAGATTGTCCTTGCCTTCTTGTTAGGGCTTGGAGAAAATAACAGGCCCAAAGTCGCCTTCCCACACAAATTCAGGGACACTGATTTTTAGAAAGGTACGGTATCCTACATTGCTATGTAACTGCAACATATTGCTAATTTGAAACTAAATTATTAGAGAGTAGAGGTAGCCCTTGGCTTTCAAATGCAATTGGGACCAGAATTTCTGTTGCTAAGCAAGGTGGTTCTTAAATGAGTTGCATCCAATTGTACAGTCTTCTTGCTGATTGTTAAGCAAATCACCCCAATTAGGTAAATCAAACAGTTGTTAGCAAATCTGGATTCTATCATTAACTTTGCTTATCTGAAGGCCCCAGATGGTGATCACATGACCAGGATGCTACAACCATTGTATATACATGCCAGTGCCTGAATCTTGATCATGTGACCATGGGAATGCTGTGATGGTCATAAGTGTGAGGACCGGTTGTATGTCACTTTTTCAGGGCCATTGTAACCAGTCGCTCAGTGAATGGTTGCAAGCTACGTGTAGTATCTTCCTTCCCTAACAGATCTGCTGGATTTTGAAAGCAATTGAAGCTCAACACACTTAGAAGACAACTAGTTGTCTATCTAACATTTCATGAAGTCCTGAAAGCTTCCTATGCCCCTTGTATTTCTCTGATGTCTTTTTTGCTGTCACTAAATTGCATTGTTTCCCCATTGAGATTTACTTCATAATATTTCTACAGACAAGCATTTGTTTACCGATCACATATATTTTATGTTACAGATGTGCCTGCTTGCCATGAGCCCATCTTGTCTTGTGTTGATTGCATGCTTTATGCTGTAAGATGCCTTGAAAACTCAACCCAAGCAAAAGATGTAAGTGGAACAAATGCCCAAGTATAGTTAGTATCTCTCCCTCGTACACACGCAAACTTAACACACTTCATATATATCTCCTTAATTTAAAAATAGGGGGAAAAGATTGCGGTCTTTGGAGATTCTCAGTCATCCAGGTCATGGTTGTCCCAAAGGCGCTTTCTTTCAAAAAGGCAACTGGACTTTCTTCTTATCCAACTGCATTTTTTAAAGAAAGCACCTTTGGGACAAAGACGGCAGTCATAACTTCTTCTACTTCTTGCTTACAAATCAGATAGTTATCATTAGTAGTTAAACCGCTCATTTAACTACAACTTCTACAGAATCCGTGTTGAATGGAATCCTTAGAAACCAGCAAACAAAAAAGCTACGTAAACAATAATATTCCCTTATAGCCCAAGCACTTTTCCTCAAAATGGTGACCTACAACTCTCAAAGAAGAAAATGTTAGGAGAACATCTGGAGGAAGAAAATTCCACCTAGAGAGCCGAGGAAAGGCCAAGGCTTTCTTCTTGCTGGCTGGGGAATTCTGGGGGTTGAAATCCACGAGTCATGAAGGGGCCGCAGTTGCCCAGCCCTGGGGTCTTGGGTTTGGAACAAAGCCCTCTCTCGGTTCTTCTCCATTACTTACTTTTAGTCGGGGTGGGAGAAACCAGTTTCTCCGTGGTTCCCACAATTTGAAAGGGAGGGAAAGGTCTTCCTCATCACACTGCAGAGTTAATCCACATTAACTGTTTAGACAGAGGCAGAACTTTGCGGACGAAAAGAACAAATATTTCTTCACTTCTTTCTCCTCTCTCTCTCTCTCTCTCTTTCTCTCTCTCCACCTTTCTTGCTGATTTCCTGCCCTCTAAGATCTCTGCAGAGGCAGCACCAGAACTGTGTTTGTAGCACTTGTTTGACCACAAAAAGTTCTAAAGCAGTTTACAAACCCCAAAAGTTTCCTGCCAACGTCAACCCCCTGCCTTCTGTAGCTCTATGGCTGAATCTTGCAGCTGGCCCCCTATGGATCTCCTGAGCCACCAGGTGCGCACCCTTGACACATGACACGGGTTGTGCCTTTTGAACTCTGGGAACCATTACAGTGGGAAGAAGAAAGAGAGGGCATGGATTCAAAGGATGTTTCGGGAATGCTTCCAGACATTCCCATAAGTGTCAGGGGAGCTCCAGGCTCTAGATCTGGTCCAGAGGCATCTCACTGCTTTCCTTTGGCTTGATTTTCCTCACAAAGAATCACAATGGGGAGCTGACTAGCCAGGAAACGATGCAAAAAATTGCTCTTCTACTGGACCTGGAAAAATGAGACATGGTGACATAGTCAACCCCAGCCAAGTTCAGATGACTGCCCTGCTCCCCACATTGATTTTTGGCCCCTCATCCTGACATTGTCACTACTTAAGCTTCATTCATAAGTCGCACCCAACACTTGGTGGCTGAATGACTCACAAGTGTGTTCTTTCATTTGGAATGGGACAGTCTTTATGGACATTTTCTGGAACAAAATGCCTAGGAGGGCGGGAGTTTTGCAGATGAAGATGATGAATAAGGCCCACTTGGAATGTTTGCTTCTCACAAAAAGATGTCAATGAAATAACTAGCTAGGAAGGGGAGGATAAATAAAAAATAAACCAGGGCACTGGACTCTATGGTGGAGAGATGAGGATGGAGAGTAGATTGGAAAAAACAAGAACTTGCGCACTGAATGGATCCAATGAAAACTGTGTGCAGCTTTTCTGTCTTTTTTTTCAGGAAGGGAGGGGGGAAGGGAAAGAAGGGAGGGAGGGAGGGAAGGATGGAAGGAAGGAAGGAAGGAAGGAAGGAAGGAAGGAAGGAAGGAGGGAGGGAGGGAGGGAGGGAGGGAGGGAGGTTTAATTTTAGATTTTAGACTTGTTCTAATTTTTTTTATTGTGCACTGCCCAGAGTCACATCTCCAAGATGGGCAGCTATATAAATTCAATAGTACAGTAAATAGATAAATAAACAGGAGGAAGAAAGCAGGGGTGTCTGTTTTGATAGTCCTCCATGGACATTCTGAAAGGAGGACTACCATCCATGGGCCCACCTGGTCCACCAAGCAGCTCCCCCAGAGCAGACAAGCCCTTTCTGTGTTCTCCCCTGTAGACAGCGTTTACAATAATCCACCACTTTCAAGAAGGTGCCATGATTAAGGGTGGTAGCTGCGGACGCCTGATTCTCCATGTCCAATTCTTCTTTAGATCCATATACACCAGGGATGGTCGCCATATCTGATGGCATAAATTAACTCTGCCTTGAACTGTGAAAAAGGAGGAAGAATGGCTTTTCCCATATTTTGCACACCATGCCCGATGTTCCAAGCCTCTGGCTCCTCTCTTTTACTTGCCTACTCCAGTTTCATCGTTTTAGTTGCTCTTGCATGAACTTTTCCCTTTTCGGGACTAGTGACAAGAACAATACCTAATGGCAATGTTGCAAAGCATTTTCCCCCTTCAGACAATAATCTTGAGGTTATGGGCAATTAGCTTAGCTCCCTATGGATGCATATAAAATAATCTTTATGTTCATCACTAAGGCCAGCTGAACACAATTCATCACGGTTAGCCAAACATGACTTGACCTCAACTTTAGCACTGATTTTTGTCTTAGACTTTTCCATGGAGTTTATGCTTTGTTTTCTCTGTATCCAGTTAATCATTATATCTTCCTGTTGGGTTTGTCAGAGGCTGGTTTGTAAGTGAAGTCCACAGTCTTTAAATTCTTTTTTGTGGATTTCACTCTGAACTTTTTAGTTTCATTTTCAAGGGGACTCTTGCGTTATTATGACTCACTAACCTTGGCCTTTTCTGTCCCTAATATTCCTTTTAGTTGAAATTTCTTCTATGCACTCTTTAAATTTATTTTAAACCCATAGGTCTAACCCAGTGGTTCTCAACCTTTTTAATGCCGCGACCCCAATCGGTCGTAAGTCGAGGACTAAACCGGTCGTAAGTCGGACTAAACCGGTCGTAAGTCGAGGACTAAACCGGTCGTAAGTCGGACTAAACCGGTCGTAAGTCAAGGACTTTCCCTGCCCGGGAGCGCCACACATGCATGGTTCCGCCCCCTGCGCCGGCCGAGGCGTAGCTGGCAAGCGGCAGAGACGGAGCAGGCCGACCACGAGCTGGCCCAGCCCAAGGGAGGTAAGGCACCCGCCGGAAAAGGGGGAAAAAATGGCGAACAAAAAAATGGCGGACAAAAAAAATGGTGGACAGCCTTGCTTGGCGACCCCCGTGAAATGGTCGATCGACCCCAAATGGGGTCCCGACCCACAGGTTGAGAACCACTGGTCTAACCCATGCTGGCAGGAGAATTCTGGGCACTGAAATCCACACATCTTAAAGTTGTCAAGGTTGAAAAGCATTGATCCAGAGTTACATTTACCACATGCTTACATTTGCTTCCTGCTGACTAATAAACCATAATAAAGATTGGTAATAATGAATATTGCAAAGGAAAGAACAGTAGAAATGAGCAGAGATCACAAAGAGCAAGAGAATCATGATTTCTGGAGTTTTTTTTTTCATGTATTTACTTAATTGTGCCAAACTTGCTAATGTACCCACAAGAGCACTGTTTGCACACTCAGTTAAAAATGGCAAGGATAGGGCTGAGAAGGACGTGGTGTGTTTATGGAGGTGTGTCAGAAAAGTCACTGAACAGAGGAAATACCCTTTACAGCCGTGCTTCCCAAATCTGAAGAAATTACCCCAAATTGGATAAAAGTGGCTTTTCTTTCAGTAATAACGTATGACCCCATTACCCATCACAACAGGAACATTTAAAGTTTTCAGCAAAACCGTCGTAAAGCGTGGTGCTGCAAACAGCTGTAAATGGACAGTGTTGCTGAGTGCCTGAAGTGTGATCACATGACTGCTGGGGGGACAACCACAGGAACGTTGGAACTGGGTCATCACTGCCTTTTTGCAGGCAGGTCATAACTTTGAATGGTCGTTAAGCAACCGGTCATAAGTCAAGACCTACTTGTACTCACATTAGCATGAGACTCTTGGATCTTGCAATGTACAGTACCTGCACCCAAGGCTTACATCGAAGCAGGGCTGACTGTTGTGCTCCCTGGGACATGGACTCAGTGCCCTTCTCACACCCTAAACAAAACAGCTTGCACAATTAGAACACAATCAGAAAAGGAGAAAGCCGCTCTGAACTGGGGCCGATTGGTGCTCGTTTCCTGCTCCATTTTAGAATTTGTAAACAGAGAGGAAAAGGGGAAAGCTCTTAGAAATACCATAGAAGACCAACCAGTCTAAAACTGAAGTGGAGCCGGGCTGAGGCAGAGCACAAAGGTACACATTCATAAACAACAGACAATACTCAAGTGACGCACCTTTTTTTGCTGTTTTTAAAGTGTTTTGCTGACTGCAGCTTCTCAAAGCCACATCAACTGACATACAATAAAAAGTAAGCAAGCTTTTAAAACATACATGGGCAAAATAAATGAGGAGGAGTGAAGGGGTGATCAGCCTTCCAGTTAAAAGAGACACGTCGACCAGCAATTTTTCCCCCCTTGAGGTCATTGCGCCTCCTGCATCCTTGGCCAGCAGAGAAGTCAAAAAAGTCAATCTGCAGTTTGTGAACTCTGCCCCTTTTTTCATGCACTGCCAGCTGATGCATGCATTGGCCCTTCTCTGAACCTGCAGACTGGAATTTGTTCTACCCCAGACCCTCCTTAGGCCTGTGAATCACCAAAAGGACACCAATCGTCCTTCTTGCTCCGTATTGCTCTCTGCTTTTCATCTCTTTTTCCTAAGAAGCAGCACTTCCCTCCCTGAGAGGTGCCTCACCTGAAGAAAGGCTGCTCCAGGCGGTTCCCCAGACTTCCCTACTTTCTACTAGGATGTGTTTTGCCTCCCAGCTCACCTCCCTGAGGTTGCCTGTCCGGATATGTTCCTGAGCCCAGAGGAGATCAGCCAGGTGAGACACCGGTTGCTCTACACGGGCACAAAATCTACAGGTGCAGGCAATGGGGGCCAAGATACTCCCTGGTTGCGAACAGCCACAAGCGCCAAGCAAGCATGCAAAGGGGTGAAGGTCCATCAGCACAAGGAGAAACGGCGGGAGTTTATATTCATGCGGGTGACTCCAATGTGCTTGAGAGGGGTAGACAAGAGGAAGGCCATCTTGGGGGGAATGTTGCAGAGCAGATCCGAGTCCTCCTCGCAGCCCTCCAGTTCGAAGGTGGCGTCATCCAGCATCTCTTTGTGGCGATGGCAGGCCTGCTCCACCTTCAGCTGGTGGATCTGGGCCCGCAGCCCCATCAGCTGCCGTGCCAGCTGGTGGTCCAGGGCCTGCATCTTCCTCTGGAGCAAGAAACAAGAGAACATTGGCCTGACATCACATGTATTTATTTATTAGATTTTTATCCTGCCTTTGTTATTTTTACGTAATACTGATTTACATGATACTCATGAATGAAGGCAAATCTACCGGATATACTGGATCTCCTGCATGGATTGCCCCTCTGACTATGTAGGATGGACAGGGAGGAATTAACTACCAGATTGCAAGAACACAAGTGAGCGGTCAGACAAGGAGGCCCGAGTTCATTGGTAGCCTCACATTGCAAGGACACACATTTAATTTCGCAACTACTACCGTAAGATTGTTGGCCGAGCTGGTACGACGATGGCCAAGGAAATGATTGAAGCCTGGGAAATGGGCCTCTTGTCAGTTAACAGGATTGCTGATGTACCACCAGTTTATCAGGTACTTAGGAGCCGAGGAGTTGTGAGCACAAGGAAACAACAGCCAATTGCCAGCCATCAATATACCAATTAACCAACTGGAAGGCACCACATAAATACGACCCACAGAATAGTCTAAACCAGCCAATATTCCAGTAGAGAGGAATTCTCTGGAGATGGGCTCCAGCACGAGTCCAAAAGCTTGGAAGAGTAAACTTCTGGACCCAGTGACCGATTGCCAGACCTGCCCCAATCTAATCCCTTAGGAAAGAAAGACCCTCGACTCCATTAGGTTGAAGTAATAGGTTCTTTTACTGAAGGAAGCGGATTGCAGTAAAGTCAGACTAGCTCTAAGATTTTCCCGCATGAACAAGATACAGAAAAAGTTCCTGTCTCCGTTCCCCCCTTGACCAGTCCATGTTTCGCCAATCAGAGATTGCCAAAATGTTATGAGAACACTGAGATGCTGTGGGCAATTCACATTCACATAAAATTGCTGGGAAAATGTTCGGGATGGCCACGGATTTCCCATTGCTCAAATATATTGTTCCCCTTTTTCTTTTTCTTAAAATATGGGAATGCAGTCTGAGTACATTCAGTATTGAGAGACAACTGCTGAGTTTCACATTACTGCAATTTATTTACCCATTGAATGTGGCCACATTTTAGAAAATACGTCGATAACTAACTAAGACTTTATTTGTATCTTTATGTGTTTATTTTTCTTTATCCGTTTGCTTATTTGACTAGCAGATGCACCTAAAATCCATCATAATAAGACTCAACAGTAGCAAAGATTCTAGAAGGAACAAAAAAAAATATTTAACAGTTTTAAAAGACCTCAGCAATGTTGGCTAATATTTGCTGCCACGTCCTCAGAGTTGTTAGGCAAAATTTAGCAATATTGTAGTCAACAATGGCCACGCAATCTGCCAGAAGAAAAGACGTTAGCGCTGCCAACTAATAATTTGCAAGCAGCCAAAGATTCTAACGTAGTGTTATGCACACACTTTCTCCAACATGGCAAGCTACTCCTTTGCTAGGACAATGAGGGCAAAAAGCTGGAAGCAAAACTAAAAGAAATGATGTAATATCTATCACGGGCACCGTAGAATGGCTCAATCTCAAAAACAGAACTTTATGGCCACAGTATTAGGATCTGTCCTCTGTTTTTGAAAGCTTTCAGTTGTACTCAGTCACTTGCCCCAACTTGTCAGGAGGGTACCAGGTGAGGAAGCCGGTGCCAAGTTGGACTTAGCAGGTTTCAAAGCATTTCCCTGCCTAACGCTTCCCACTTCTAATAATCAGAGGAGACCAGGAGCGTCAATGATGTCACATGTGACGTAGCATCATCATCATCATCACCACGGTGCAATGTTGTCATGGTGGCTTCAACTAGAATCAGAAGCCCCCAATCTTGGCCATTTTACGACTTGTGGACTTCAACTTCCAGAATTCCTCAGCCATCTTGAGCTGAGGGTTGGACAAGAGAATGACTGGCTGAGGAATTCTGGGAGTTGAAGTCCACAAGTCGTAAAATGGCCAAGGTTGAAGACCCCCTGAACTAGATGTTGGTCCTTCTCAGACAGGACTCTTAGCTTCTCATTTACACCTGGAGCAGAAGCAGAAGCAGCACAGCTTGTAAAAAGCTACTGGGTGGGAGGTAGTCCTTGAAAGATACTGACCTAATGGTTTTTTCTCCTCTGCCTACGTTCTCCAGAAGCCCACTGCCCAGAAAAATAGCAGAGGTTAACTTGAAGGGATGAATAGCAGCTGCTCCTGGTTGGAGATTGAAAAACCAGGATTTTGCTGCCCCATCTTCCAGTAGATTCCATTGAGATTTATTATAATTGCCCCAAATGTAGCTTCCTGTAGTCCTACCAGATAGATGGTAGGGCTATCTGATTTTCTGACCCTTTTAGGCCAACTTCTCCTGAGATCCAAAGGGCTACTTACCAGTTCCATCCGAAGCCATTCAAAGGCCATACCAATGGTGGGGAATCCACAAACAGACTTCAAGGATCCCTGGGCTTGATTCTCTTCTCCCACTGCCTCTTCGCCCTGCTTCTCCAGGTGGGTCTTCAGCGCTTCAGCCCGCAGCCCATTTCTCCAGGAGGGGCTTTGCACATGGGCCTTCCATTCTAGGTAAGATGGGCGCCGTGTCTGTAGCTTCAACTTTGTTGTCAAGGCCTTGACGCTGTCTAGGTTCTCTTCTTCTAAGTTCAGTTCATCTTCCCCCAATTCCTTGAACCTCACCAGGGCCATGGCAGAGGTGCCGAGCACAGAGTGTGTCTCTACAGAGAACCAAATAACAAACTCACTCTCCTTCTCGGTGTGCACGCTGCATATACGTGTGCGTGTGTAGACGAAAGCTGTTTATTCTTGAAACAATCAAGTCCTTGGAAATATAAAAAAAGAGCAGGAACTTTAATTATCCAGAGGTGAATGGGAGAGGTTTTTTTTTTTTAAAGTAAACTATTATTGTCTCGAGCTGAGAGGAGACACCCTATTCTTTGAAAGGAAGTTTTAATAGGAACATAAAAGTCAGCAAGAGTGTAAAGTAATTTATCCTGCAGGCACTGCTTCCTTTTCTTATCATCAGCCAAGAAGAGTCGTAAATCCTCCACCCAGGTCTTAAGCCTTTGGTTCGCCACCACTGTCTTAAGCCTTTGGGCTTATATTGACACCTGGGCCGAAGCTGACAAAGTGTGTTTTTCACTAGGAAATTGGCAAATATTGGTAACTCAATTAAAAATTAAAGAAAATCCCTTAGAGACACGCAAATCTCTTACACACCACATAATAAGGTTCCTCCAGCCCTGGATCCATCAGCCAAGGTCAACATCTGCACACACACACAAAATGAAAAATTATATTTCCTTCAGGGTAGGAAAACTACATTTTCTCCTGTGTGCCTCTCAAAGGCAAATACATCTGCAAGCTCGTTCACCCACACCTTAAACAACAGGTAGACTTTCCTATCAATATTACTGTTTTGGTCTTCTAATTTGGGGCCACCTTTGATTGCTGAACTGTCTGTTACACTGTTGAATAAATCAGCTTTAGGCAGTTGTCCTGTGTGCTCATTGGAACCTGGCTTGGAACAAACCAGAACACGTCTTGCTCAGCATGGATTTTGCCAAAGATGTGCTAATTTTCTACTGTTAATGGGGCTCTCTTTTAAGATTAAGATTTCAATTCCACCAGAGTAATAGGTCCTGGATTTTTTACACATTTTTAAGTTAGTAGTATAATGCCTTGTTTGGGTTAACTTGAGGGTACAAACAGACAAACAAATAAACACAGTAAGAGTATTAATAGTGTATACATTCCTAAATAATGCTGTAAGTTTGGCTTCCATGGGCTCAAGAATTCTTTCCAGCGCTCTGGTGGTGGGACCAAGTCTTCACAGCTGGTGCTTGCATTATAGCTGCTGCTTTTTCACCTCTGACCCTCAAAAAAATCCCCTCCCTGAAAGGCTGGCCCCCAGATGGGTGAGCAGGAAGCTGACCCTGGGCATTGAACTGGGGTGAATGAACCCTGGGGGGAAAACCAGAAAGCATCTTTCACTTTTTTGGAACAGTTCAAAAATACTCCCCATTATCTTTTGGAAGCATTTTTATCTTGATGAATCCGATGTTCTGGGTCTGTGTGACATGCTGAACTTCACACCATCCGCCCAGGTTGGATTCCCACAGCACAGCTGCTTGTCGAACATTCATTTCCCTCAAGGCAAGGAAAAATGTGTTATTTATTAGTTTCAAAGGAAGCCCTACATTTTAACCCCAACCCTGTCCGTTTTGGCGAGGGGAAATCCATGTGGGGAACAGAGAGAGAGGCTCATTTTGTCACAGCAGATGCGGGGGGGGGGGGGGGAGAGATCTAAGAGAAAACGTAACTGGCGGCAAACATTTTTGTCTTCAAAATCCAGTCTCCTCTGTGTACATCTGGAGTGTGAGGAATAGCACCCATCTTGACAGCACCCACAAATGCTCCATCAGGAATGAACCATCTGCAGTCTTCCAAGGATTGTGGACAAGACTCATCAATTGCAATCCTTTGTTGTCAACAGCAAAAGGCTATTAGAACTGTCTTCAACCCATCTGGAGAACATGAGTGCCTTATCACTGTTTGTTTGTTTGTTTGTTTTATTAAATTTATATACTGTTCAAGCCTCTGCAAAGCCACTCTTTATTGCCAATTAACCTTGATTTAAACGTAAGAACTTGGCAATGAAAACACAGCAGATCCTGACATTTCACAGGCTTACTGATGTAAAAACCAAAACTGCTTGGGAGACATCACAACAGATCTAGACAGACTTTTAAAAGGCAGAGACATCCCAGACTCCAAAGATACTATTGTGGAAACAATGCCTTTGAGCTGGGATGTCAGAGAAAGTAATTGGGAATACCTTGGACCAACGTTTCTCAGCCTTGACGTTAAGATGTGCGGACTTCAGCTCCCAGAATTCTGGAAGTTGGAAGTCCACACGTCTTAACATCGGCAAGGCTGGACAATTTGTGGAACTGAAGTCCACAGGTCTTAAAACTGCCAAGGCTGGGAGTTCTGGGAGCTGAGGTCCACACATTTTAAAGTTGCTAAAGCTGGGTAAATACTAGGAGTTGAAGTCCACACCTCTTAATGTTGCCATGGTTGAGAAACACTGCAGTGGACAATAAAAAGAACAAATCATTCAATTGCAGATCAAACCAGTCAACTGCCCAGAAGCACAATTAAGAGAAGTAAAACATAAACATTGAGAGTACCCTGAGCAAGGGAAAAGTTACTGGAGAAGACCCTGATACTTGGAGAAATCAGAAGCTGTTAGAAAAGACAGAAGAAAAAGTGCATGAGCCAAGCAGACACTTCCAAGAACTCAGAGAACCATCTACTGGCAAACCACCCTAAAGAAATCATAGAATAACAGAGTTGGGAGGGACCTAAGAGGTCATCAGGTTCATCCTGCTGGATTGAGCCAGTCTTCCCCAACAGTAGGCCCTCCTTTCAGTTCTATGGCAGGGATCTGGGGGGGGGCACCAGGTGGAGAAAGCTGGTCTCGATGCACAACTTTTTAAAAATAATATAGGAGGGAAGGAGGGACGGGGGGACTTTTGTGGATATCTGTTTTTTCTGTCTGCCTTCTTGGGGATTATAATACTGGCAGATAATTTTTCTCTCTCTTTTTAATTTACTTTTGCACTAGAGCGCAGCCCTGTGCTTCTCCATGGAAATATCTGAGAATCAAGTGCCTTTTCCTCTCGCTCATGAAGCACTGTTCTGCACGTCCGTCTTGTTATCACGCAATAAAGCTCTCCCCCAGAGTTTCAATTCCTCCAGTGTTCCAGTAATTTCATGCCTCCCTTTTTTTCTCATCATCTGTTCTAGCAAACATGTTTATCACAGCGATGTTTTATCTGCTATCTTCACACATCTCTTCTAGTTCTTTAACAGTGGGAAAAAAATAAACTGAAAACAAAACAAATTACAGCCGGGCTACCTTAAGCGACACATCCTCTTTCTCCCTTTCTCGCTCTCTCTTTCTCCCTCCCTGCTCAGCCTCTCCCCCTCTCAGTGCTGTGCAGTTCCTGTTCTACCCTTTCACAATATAAGATCCAGCTTGAGCTCCCAGCAACACAACAAACAGCAGTTGCAAGGTTTCTGCACAACTGTCCTTTGCCAATATCGGCTGGCTGGCTGGCTGGCTGGCTGGGGCATGAACAGAGGGACCGATCTCTGTTCCCTGCGGCCTTTGCCACTAGGTGGGGGATCCTGTTTCCAAGATCCTTTTGCAGGTCCCAGGAGAGATCCAGTTCCCCATTCAGCTCTCAGGTAAGGGAAGTGGACGCTCCCAGCTTTTTTGGCTTTCTCCCAACACTAATTCGGTCCAGAGGAATACTTCCGTGCTGGGAAACAGGATTCTTTTATTGAAAAGTTCCTGCCAACCTCTCAAAGCTGTGCGACTACATTCAGCAAAGTTTAGTTGCACCAGATGGTTTGTTACTAGCTGAAGGGCAGTTCCTGGTCTGCCTGGACTGAAGTGGGGTCATTATAAACAGAACGGAGCTCACTTTTGCAGATCTGGCAGACGCTGTGGTCCACCCCGAAGTTGACAGAATGCTTCATTTGGGTTGCCAGTTTTTCACCCTGGTCTTATAACAGCAACTTTTAACCACAGTGAGCTGTGCTGTTTATAGTGTTGGCCTGTTCCTTCCTTACTATTCAGATCAAAAATTCTCCTCTCCAAGTGCAATCCAAGTGTTGGTTAAAGGCACAACATTAGGATCACTGTCTTTCTCCTGGTCAGTTGGCAACAGCCACTAATGTTGGCCAGAAAGCAGAAAGGGTTAAGAAATCTCTTGCTGTTTCTGCTGCTTGAGTAGGACTGGAGAGGGGATGGAGACAGGAAGGCCCCCTGGGTTTGTGGGCTTGCAGAATGCTGAATTGTGAGCCCGTTTGGCCTAATAATCAAGGTGCTGGCCTAGAAGCCAGAAGACTATAAGTTCTACTGCCATCTTAGGCGTGAAAGCCATCTGGGTGACTTTGGGCCAGTCACTCCCTCTCAGCCCAACCCACCTCACAAACCTCAGTCTCCCCTTTGAAGCATGACCCTCTACTCACTCTTGACCTGGAAAGTGTAGGCATCTCTTTATCAAGCAGATCTCTCTGATTATATTATCCATTCATTTACAGACATAATATATTGGTAGTCCTCGACTTGGAACCGTTCATTTTTTTTTAAACACTTCTGGGATTTGCTTAATGAACACAGCAAAAAAGGTTGTAAAATCAGGCATGACTCACTTACCACCTTACTTAGCCACAGAAGTTCCTGTCCCAGTTGTGGTCATCGGCCGACATGACCCTGTCTTGAAGGACCAGAAAGCCTTTTCCCCCCATCCTTCCTGAAACGCCCTTCCTCATCTTTCTTCCTAATCTTCCAGGTTCTCCTGAAATAGCTTTCTCCTTCACCGTCACATTTGCAGGACGCTCCGCCACCCCCCACCATGGAATTTGCCGAGCTGATCAAAACCACCAAGGTAGACGATGTGGTTCTCTCGTGCCCAGGACTCCAGCCCATCCGAGGGACCCTGGCCATCACCAGCCACCATTTACTGTTTTCATCCCAGGCAGAAGGGAGTGAGGAACACAGAACAACGGAGTTGTGGCTTCTTATTCGCAATGTGGATGCCATTGAAAAAAGGTGAATAGCTTTGCCTGGCATTGCTGAGCTTCTCGTCATGGTTCCTCTCCGCCACCCCAACCCCAGTTTGTGGACTTCATCTCCCAGAATTCCCCAGCTACCATGGGGAATTCTGGAGTTGACGTCCATAGATTCTAAGTTGTTAAGGTTGAGAAATACTGGTCTGGGCAAATGTAGCCTAACAGAGTTTACAGTAAACTGCACTATGAAACGTCACTGATTCATCTTGAACAGTTAAAAGAATCTTTGCTTGCTGCTTTGAAGAAGAAACCAAACTAATCTGCCATTGCAGTTTTAAACTCTCTCATTTGCAGTCTAGACCACATGGGTGAACTATTCAGACCCAAACGAAGGAGATTTGCCCACCCCAATATTATCACACACTCTTGAGGGGTTCTTTCAAGGGTTCTATCAAGTTCCTTCACACTCAAGGTGACATGGTTCTGAAAGAAGTAGCTTTTCAAAGAACTTTGAGGCTTATTTACCTTAAAGAATCCTTTATTTGGCTACATAGCTTCGGCACGAACAATAAAAAACCAAAAACTGAACCTCCCACCCCCCAAGCACCCGTAACAACACATAACTCACTCCTTCATTTTACAGTCATCAATCATATGCTCCAATTAGTTTGAAGTGTGAATTGCTCCCTCCCTATTTCTCCTGTTACGCTGACCTTGGCTGTGCTATGCTGAGATATTCTTATGATTAGCTGGCATACTTTCCCACCTACTAGGCTAGTATTGTCTGCTTTAACTCTAGAAGTGATATGTGGGCTAAGTAAAACATGTTTGCTTCTTCACATATGGCAAGCAAGAACATCCAATGTTAGCAGACTTGACACAAGGATGGTGAGATCAGAAGCAAAGATCTTCAGGTCAGGGCAAGGAGGCCAAATATCCTGCATCGGCTGGCTTGGGCTGGGGATCGGGTGGTGGGAGTGAAACTAAGTGCTTTTCTTACTCTCATTGCTGATGGGTTAGTTTTGTTCTCTGCTGAAGCTCCATCTTGCACCCTTTTGCTCCTGAGCTCTTCAAAAGGCAGCCCAACGTGGGTTTAAGAGGCGACATTTTTCTGCAACGCTTGGGAAGAAGCACCACCTGCTCAGAATGTTCACTGAGGGGGGGGCTGCAGAAGAGACCAAAAGAAACAAGGGATCTTACACCTTCCTGGGGGGCCTGGGAGAACATGGCCAAGGCAAAATTGGGGTGGTCCACGTCCCCCCTGAGTGGCAGAGTGGAAGAGGGAGGGCACTGAAGTTGGCAGCAGGGGTTCTCCATCTCAGTGCCAATTAACCTCTGCATTTCGGGCACGATGCTAACCTTTCTCCTTTCCTTCCTGTGACTCTCAGCATTCAGAATTTAAGCTGGTATCAAAACTCCTGGACTAACGGCTCGCTGCCAGAGAACAGGTTTGCCTTAACCCTTTTCACACCGCAAGGCATGCAAGCAAGCAAGCGAGGTGACAGGCTGGTGCGCGTCATCGACGTTCGGCTTCCGCAGCTGCACAGTCGGGGAGGGGGAACCCATCGTCCCAGGTCTTGCTTCAGTGTTGCCCAGACAGGTGAAGAATGACCTCTCAGCCATCCTGATGTCCTTTTTCTACCTGCTGGAAAGCGAGGCCAGGACAGTTTGATGGAGGGAAGTAGGGAGAACTGGCAACAGGCACCATAATCAGAAATCCAGCTTCTTGCCAGATGTAGCCCGGATTTTGCTATTATATGAATTGCCGGCATATTTTTAAGCATGCACAGAGTGCTTATTTCTTGGCCTTGCACCTCCTTTCCATAGGCAGTTCAGATATTGTCTTCTAAATACATGCCGGTTGCCAAACGACCAAAGTTTGATCCCATGACCATGCGCGCGCTGCAACGATCTTATTTTTTTCAGTACTGTTGTAACTCTGAGCAGTCGCCAGATGAACAGTTGTAAACTGAGGGCTATCTGTAGATTTCAAATAGTAGTGAGATTTAGGATGGATTGAGGAAGGATTGAGGTGGGGTCAAGGACTGGCAGTGATGTGAGTCATGTAACCAGCATCAGTTGCGTCAGTTGTATGATGCACACGGTATTGTGGGAGGCCATGACAGCTTCGCTGCCCTCTGCTTCTCTCTCTTTCTGGGTTAATGAGTTGCTCACTTCCTGCTCATCTGCAAGACCATCTTTCGGATTGTGGCTGGTGGGCTGGGAAGCCAAGGCCTCCATCGTTGGTGCTGCTCCTCCCTTGCCACAAACGTGAGGTTCTTTCTGCTTGCAAACTGCCGGAAGTTGCCTGTGGCCTCCTGCAAGGCAGCTCACACGGTCTGTTTCCCCCCTCTTCCCACAGGCTGGCCAACGCCTCTGGCACCATCACTCTCAAATGCAAAGACCTGAAAATTCTGCAGTTGGAAATCCCTGGAATGGCAGAGTGCCTGAACATTGCCAGCTCCATTGAGGTAAGGTGAGCCTGTCCTGATTTTGGCAGAACCCAGCTGCTGCCAGATCATGGGAAGAGGAACAGTCCCTAAACATGTGCTGAGTGCCTGTCCTGATTAATGGGAGGGTGAAGTTTAGGACCAAGGACACCTGGTTCCCACCTACACTATCCTCAGCCACAAAATCTCCAATCCGATTTTAGCCTGTTCTTGTAGGTTGTGCAAATTGAGCCAGTGCTTCATCCAGGATGTATCTTGACATACATTTTCTTTTCTTTTTCTTTCTTTCTTTTTCTTTCTTTTTCTTTCTTTTCTTGTTTTTCTTCTTTTTCTTTCTTTTCTTCTTTCTTCTTTCTTTCCTTTTGCTCTTTCTTTTCTTGTTTTTCTTTTTCTTTCTCTCTTTTCTTGTTTTTCTTTTCTTTTTCTTTTTTCTTTTTCTTCTTTCTATTTCTTTTTTCTTTTCTTTTTCTTCTTTTTTTCTTTTTCTTCTTTTTTTCTTTTTCTTTCTTTTGTTTTCTTTCTTTCTTTCTTTCTTTCTTTCTTTCTTTCTACTATACTGTTCTGCAGTTGTGGGAAGCAGTTATAACCAGATATTAAAACTATCCTGTACCCATCAGCCCCTTCCCCTGGTTAAACTCATGCCCAAACTCAGCCAAGATGCTTCCAAATGTTGCAGCTTTAAGGATAAAGGAGGAAAAGGAGAAGCGAATGAGGAAGGAGGAGGAGGAGAAGAAGTTTTCCCAAGGCCTTGTCTCTTGCTGTTCAACCCTTCTTTTCAATCATAACAGGGAAGTCCTACCCCTCCCCATGCTCTCCATTTCCTGTTGATTCATTTTGCGTAGGAAAGAAGAGGGAGGGTTGCAAAAGAAGTAAGAAGCCGATGGGTGGCACAGAAGCCTTGTGGTGCTTGGCAGTTTGGCCAACCCAACCTCAGCTGTTGCGTTGAGTTCTCACCAGGGGCTTAGCTGGGGCTCTTTCCTCCAGTTCCCTATGGGGGATGAAACTGGCTTCAGGCCCACCTGTGCGGGGTGAGCCCCAGAAGCCCCAGTTTCTCACACACAGGTAAAAAGTGCTTGAAGAAGCTGAGATCTGCTTGGTTCAAAGTCTTGCAGACCAGGTGCCGTTGTGACTTTCAATAGTTGCTAAAGGAATGGCTGTTAAGTTGAAGACTTCCTGAGTGTCTGAGCTTTAAGGATCAAGAGCAGCAATGCTGGCTGGGCTATTTGGAGAGTTGAAGTCCACACATCTTAAAATGGCTTGAGCTTGGCTAAGCGACACTTCCAAGATGGAGAACGTCATGTGTACCTGTTGCTAACCATGCTGGGCCAACCATGTTCCCACAGGCCCTTTCTTCTCTGGAATCGGTGATGATGACGTACCCCTTCTTCTACAGACCCCAAAACACAATGCTGGGCACTGGGTGGCTGACGCACATTACCGAGCAGTATTACAAGCAGATTGCAACTGACGTGAGTAGAGAGGCCGATAATCTTCATGAGAAGCAAAGGTCCCTCTCTGAGCATGGGCTACTGGGCTGGCAGAACTGACAGCTGGACCAGGGCATTTTGTGGCCTGGTGCCAAGGAGATTGCATGTTATTGATAACAAATATCTATTAAAACTTTTTTTAAAAATTTTTTTTAAAGGACTTAACAAGTTGTTCTACTATCTCTGCTGTATCAGAAGTTGAAAATGAGGCCGTAATTGTAGATATTGCCATTGAGTTACATCTAATAGATATTTGTCTTTTAGCGTGGAATACAGGTAGACCTCAACTTACAACTGATCACTTACCCAACTGTTTGAAGTTCCAATGGATTTACTTGGGGGGGGGGGTTACTTACGATCTGGTTTTGAAGTCGACAGTTGCCCCCCCTTGTGGTGACATGACCATACCTCAGGAACTGAGCAACCGGGCCACAATTTACGGCCATTTATAATGTCCCGCAGTCACATGACCACGGTTTACGATGGTTTTGCCGAAAACCAGTATTTATTATTATTATTATTATTATTATTATTATTATTATTATTATTATTATTATTATTATTTATTGAATTTATATACCGCCCTATCTCCCTTACGGGACTCAGGGCGGTGAACAGGCAATAATAAAAACGATTTACCACACTCATAGTAAAATATTGGTTCGTTTAATGACTACAGTATCCTCTTAATGACCACATATTCACTTAATAAGGAAGGTCATAAAATTGGGTCTGTCACGTGACAGACAGACCCACTTTATATCCATCACGAGTTACATGGGGCAGGCTCCATTATGGTCATAACCTGAGGACTACCTGTATGACAAAACTTTATCCTCATCATCTGTCAGTTGGTTGAAAGTCTACACTGTATCCCTGCTCCGACCCAATTTTTCCAGGTCACCACTTTTTTCCCCAATATCAAAGCTGGGTTTTAAAGTCAATGCAATTATTTCCCTCTGTTTTTGTGTGTGGGCGTGTCTGTGTTGTCCATAGGTATCAACAACCCTTTGCACCAACCTGGCTCCTTCACCCTCCACCCCATAACTAAGCCAACAGCTTCTTCCCCAAATCTGGACCTATTAAAATGCAGTCAGGTCAACAGATATCATCTGCCAGGATAGACGTTCAGCAAGAAGACTGTATATTGGAGGCAAACAGCCTCACCATCACCAGAGCTTGACCTGGCTCTTCAAACACCTTCATTCTTCATCCCTTCCAGACAGGGGCCTGGAGGCTGAGTTCCATCAATGCAGACTTTGGAGTCTGTCCCAGTTATCCACCAGTTGTGATCGTACCGGCGAGACTGGATGATGGAGCCCTTCAGAAGAGCGCCCGATTCCGTCAGGGGAGGCGATTCCCAGTTCTCAGCTACTATCACAAAAAAAATGGGACGGTGGGTCNAAAAGTTGGGAGGGGAGGTGCTGCTCTACTGCAGTGTTTCTTAAACTTGGCAGTTTGATGATGTGTGGACTTCAACTCCCAGAATTCCCCAAACCTTCAAGTTGTCAAGGCTTAGAAACACTAGCAACAGCCATCTTCTCCAACCTGCAGCTCTTGCAATGCTTAGAAACTGCCAGCACTCATATCGTCCAAGGAGGGCACCAGGTAGGAGAAGACAGAGATGCCCTCCAGTGGCCACCTTCTGTACCAGGAGATGCTGGGAACTGAACCAGGCAGCTTTGGCACACCCAATGGATACTCTAAACAGGCCCGTGTCACTTCACCAATCTGTACAGAATTATTTCATAGAAATAGGATAAAAAGGTTGGAAGGAACCTTGGGGGTCTTCTAGTCCAAGCAGGAGACCCTCTACCATTCCAGACAAATGGCTATCCAGTCTCTTCTTGAAAACATCCAGTGATGGAGCACCCATAATTTCTGGATGGAAGTTGCCCCACTGATTAATAGTTCTCACTCAAGAAATTTCTCCTTAGTTCTAGGTTGGATCTCTCTTTGATGATCTTCCACCTATTATTTCTTGTCCTGCCCTCTGGTGCCCTTTGGAGAATAGGTCAACTCTCTCTTTGACAGCTCTTCAAATACTGGAAGACTGCTATCATATCACCCCTAAGCCTTGTCTTTGATAGGCTAGCCCAGGGGTAGGCAACCTTGGCTCTTTTATGAGTCGTGGACTTCAACTCCCAGAATTCCTGAGCCAGCATGGCTCAGCATGGAAACCTCTCCCTTTCCCCTCAGCATGGCTGGCTCAGGAATTCTGGGAGTTGAAGTCCACGAGACATAAAAGAGCCAAGGTTGCCTACCCCTGGGCTAGACATACCTAGCTCCCTTAACCACTCAAGGTGTGGTTTAACCTCCAGACCCCTTTTCATCTTCACTAGCCCCATCAAAAGGAATTTGAGCATCACCAAGCAGACAGCGGGCAAAAACAGAACCAAGCACTGCTTAGGAACTGAGAATTCAGAAATAAATGACTTTATCACTGTCATTAATCAGTACAACAAGAATGTAAAAATGTCTTTCGTTTGCCCCAGAAGGGGAACTTTCAGAATTTCGCTTTTTCAGACCGATATGCAGAAACTTAGCCCTTATTCAAAATTCATAGTTCTCCAACTTTTGCAACACAGGTCAGCAATATTGTCATTTTAGGAAATATATCATCACGGAAAGTCAGCTTTCAAAAACCAAAAAGCTGTGTGAAATGTTCTACAATAGAAAAAAAAAACGGTTTGCAAAAACTGGGCGTGAAACAGACTTACAAACAAAAATTCTTACGTTAAGGAAAGCATATATCCCAAAATACGTTCCATTTCAGGATGAGCTTTTCAAAAAAAAGATTGAGCTTAAGGAGATGTACTTGACCAATGGCCACAAGGTGACCTTGGGAGAACCCCAAATCGATCCATTTGCACCCCTCCCAGGAGTCTCCCTCCCTTTTACTCTCCTCCATCCATCTCCATCCTTTGCTCGTGCAGGCGATGCTTCGCAGCAGCCAGCCCCTCGTGGGGCCCAACCGGAAACGCTGCTATGAGGATGAGCTGCTCTTGACCACCATCCTAGAGGGCGGGGAACGTGGCTTCATCCTGGACACCAGGTCGCTGCAGGCCGCAAAGCAGGCCCGGGTGATGGGGGGCGGCCTGGAGCACCGAAGCTGCTACCGTGGCTGGAAGAGGCTGCACCGCGCTCTAGAGAGGTAAGCCCCTCTATCTATCTGTGCCCCAACTGTCCATGATGGGAAGGTATTAAAAAGAAGCCCCAGGCAGGGCACATCTGAATAATATGCTGAACGCACTATGGAAGCCTCTTATCCCCTTTTAAAACAGACTTATGTAATGCTTTCAGCGTATCATGACCAGGAAAAAGCAAAATTAAAACAACAACACAGGGAGCTCTCAACAAAGATGGGCACTGGTCAAAAGATATCCCGGGAATTCCTTTACCTCGGTGTGACCCATGCCTCTGATGCCTAAGCAGGGTGAACCAGCTTAAAAATGATTCCTTCCTCAATTAAGTCAAGGATGATCTGTGAAAAACTGGTACCGAGGTTAAGAATTATTGAATAATATCTTTCCCAGTCAGCCCTGAAATCTTCCAGAAACAGTGAGAATTGTAGAGGGCAGCAGGTTAATATTTAGTACTGTCCCTGATTAATTAATTTATTATTATTATTATTAAAGTTGGAAGGGACCTTGGAGGTCATCTAGTCCAACCCCCTGCTCAGGCAGGAAACTCTATACCATTTTAGACAAATGGCTGTCCAGTCTCTTCTTAAAAACCTCCAGTGTTGGAGCATTCACCGCTTTTGAAGGCACTGGTTAATTGTTCTAACTGTCAGGAAGTTCCTCCTTAGTTCTAGGTTGCTTCTCTCCTTGATGAGTTTCCATCCGTTGCTTCTTGTCCTGCCTTCAGGTGCTTTGGAGAATAGCTTGACTGCCTTTTCTTTGGGGCAGCCCCTGAGATATTGGAAGACTGCCATCATGTCCCCCCTCGTCCTTCTCTTCGTTAGACTAGACATACCCAATTCCAGCAACCATTCCTCATATGTTTTAGCCTTCAGTCCCCTGATCATCTTTGTTGCTCTTCTCTGTACTCTTTCTAGAGTCTCAACATCTTTTTTACATCGTGGTGACCAAAACTGGATGCAGTATTCCAAGTGTGGCCTTACCAAGGCATTGTAAAGTAGTATTAATACTTCACATGATCTTGATTCTATCCCTCTGTTAATGTAGCCTAGCACTGTATTGGCCTTTTTGGCAGCTGCAGCACAATTATGGGATTCTTCTCCATTATTTCATATATATTTTCCTATCGAGAAAGACAGGCAGATGTGAAAGCTTAAACCAGCCTCCCCTATTAACAGTAACTCGCTTTCTCCAGCCATACAAGCCTGGTCCACGGGAATGGCCCCTGATTATGAGCTGCAGGACTCTCTGACCAAGTCAGTTCTCTCTTCTCCTTCTCCTTTTTCTTCTCTCTCCCCACCTCTCAGGGGTCGCTCCCTCCAGGAAAGCTTCATCAAGTTGGTGGAAGCCTGCAATGACCCTTCTCCTCACATGGACCGCTGGCTGAGCAGGCTGGAAGCCTCCAAGTGGTTGTCCCACGTCAAGGAAGCCTTGAATGCTGCCTGCCTGGCAGCCCAGTGCCTGGAAAGGTAGCATTGCATTTGGTCCTTCCCCCGGAAAGGCTCTGGAGAGGAGCCCCCAGGAGACGCTGTTGGGACACGTCCCCTCTGCACCCCAACTTTTCAGGATGGGCTAATGCCAGGGAGGAGGTCGTGTAACCAGAAACTGTTGTGTCTTGCTCCAGAGAGGAGGCTTGTGTCCTGGTGCACGGAGCCGAAGGGAAGGACGCCACCTTGTTGGTGACGGCTCTTGCCCAAGTTATCCTGGATCCAGCCTGCAGGACGTTGGCCGGCTTCCAGGGACTGCTGGAGCGGGAATGGATACAGGTACTAGCAGGAGGCAGTTCAAAGGGGATTGGCATGCTGGCTGGGGAATTCTGGGAAATGAGATCCACACTTCTTAAAATTGCCCTAGGTGGAAAACAAGAAAGTGTACCTTGTTCTTTTTTTATCTCAATCGTTCCTAGTAGTAATACAGATAGAATTTCAAAATTGGAAGCGATTGTAATTCTTTCTAAGCACAGGCATGGCGTATTTATGTTATACATTACTCATCAGATTCTAGTCTGATGTGTGCTGCAGCTGCCAAAAAGGCCAACACAGTGCTGGGCTGCATTAACAGAGGGATAGAATCAAGATCATGTGAAGTATTAATACCACTTTACAATGCCTTAGTAAGGCCACACTTGGAATATGGCATCCAGTTTTGGTCACCACGATGTAAAAAAGATGTTGAGACTCTAGAAAGAGTACAGAGAAGAGCAACAAAGATGATTAGGGGACTGGAGGCTAAAACATATGAGGAACGGTTGCTGGAATTGGGGATGTCTAGTTTAATGAAGAGAAGGACCAGGGGGGGACATGATAGCAGGGTTCCAGTATCTCAGGGGCTGCCACAAAGAAGAGGGAGTCAAGCTTTCATCCAAGGCGCCTGAAGGCAGGACAAGAAGCAACGGATGGAAAATAGTCAAGGAGAGAAGCAACCTAGAACTCAGGAGAAACTTCCTGACAATGAGAACAATTACCCAGTGGAACAACCTGCCTCCAGAAGTGGTGAATGCTCCAACACTGGAAGTTTTCAAGAAGAGACTGGACAGCCATTTGTCTGAAAGGGTATAGGGTTTCCTGCCTGAGCAGGGGGTTGGACTAGATGACCTCCAAGGTCCCTTCCAACTTTTTTATTATTATTATTATTATTATTATTATTATTATTATTATTATTATTATTATTATTATTATTATTATTATTATTAGTCAGCATGCAAAATGGAAGTTAAGGATTCCTTAACCATGGCTTAGTGCGGTGTGATAACACAGCCACTGAATTATCATCATCAAGCCAGCGTAGGGAGCCTCCGGCCGTCCAGATGTGGACTTCCATTGTCCCAAGCCTTAAAGTTGTAATTTAGAAACTTCTGCAGCAGCTCGGACTCCACCTCTCATCCCACACAGAAAAACAGGCTGATATGACACAGGTGTACCTTTGATCATAAGGAGGAACAGTTTAATGCTTACCAATATTTATGGGGTTCTTTGATTGACTTCGTTGAGCTTTGATTCTTGTTGGAAGCCCTGTCTCCTGCCCTTCCCTCTCTCTGGACGTTACTGGTAGAAGCACGAAGAAGCAGAAAATTCCTTTTCTGCTTCTAGCTGCCAACCTTTTTGCTTTTCCAGGCCGGGCACCCCTTCCAGCTCCGTTGCGCCCATTCTGCCTACGCGCACGCCCGGCTCAAGCAGGAAGCGCCTACTTTCCTCCTCTTCCTCGACTGCGTCTGGCAACTGGGGCGCCAGTTCCCCTTCTCGCTGGCATTCAATGAGCATCTCCTGCTGGCACTCTTTGAGCATTGCTACGCCTCTCCCTATGGCACCTTCTTGGGCAACAACGAGAAAGAAAGGTAAAGCAAGAGCAGGCCATGGAGGGGGCAGAGCAGGGTTGAGGGTGCCAGCAGCCTAGGAGAGCAGGGTGAACTAAGATTATTCAAAGACTCCCACCGAGGGCTGGGAATTTTCTGCCTCCAGTCTTGAAAGACAACAGAGGGATCATAAAAGTGGGAGGGTTGGTTCCAACTACTTTTATGAGTGCTGTTGTAACGTTGAAGGGTTGCTAAACAAATGGCTGCAAGTTGAGGAGTACCTAGAATTCTTTCATGCTTTCCAACAACCCCCGTTTGAATCAAGTTGTGCCCTCAAGAGGGGAGGGACACCTCAAAGCTACAAGAAAGGAACAGAGTCTAAAAATGTTAGATTGCGTTTGCTTCTGTCAAGTCTTCCCCAAACATCCCACTGCAATTTTTGGGGAGCATCCGTTCCCCTGTATCGGATTAAAGTTGTGTTCCTTCCCTAACATGGCGGGCTCCTGGTTGGATGTGGTGATCGGAAAGCTGGCTAGGGACTTCTGGGAACTAAAGTGCACACATCTTCAAGTTGCCCAGGCTGAGAAACAGCGCTCCAGGCCCACCCAAGGAGGGACTAAAATACTACTGACTTCCCTGCAGGAGGTTGTGTGACGTGAGGGGGAAGACCCACTGCCTCTGGCCCTGGATAAACCGTGTGGAGAAGTATCTGAATCCCCTTTACCTGTACAACCCCCTGGTCATTTGGCCCTCCGTGGAGCCACAGAGCGTGGTGCTCTGGCAAGGTAAATTCCTTTTATCATGTGAAGTACAAACTCACACTTTCGAACAAAGCACTCACGTGCCAGCAACTGTAATTTGGTTGAAATTAAGCCTTCCAGATTTCAGAGTTTTATAGGCCAATCTTGGTGATAAGTCTGGAAGTTGACTCCTGGCAACTGGACTTATTTTCTTGTTGGTTTGAAATATTGCGCTCTCCATCCAAATATTGCGCTCTCCATCAGTCAGAGCATTGTTGGCACTTAAGCAGCGAAACATCTCAAACCAACAAGAAAATAAGTCTTACCTTTACCTGGATGACTAAGAATCTTCGTTATGCTTTGCTCAGGTTGATACAATAATTCCACTGTCAATGCTATAGAAATCACTTAGGAGGGCTGGAAGAGATCTGCACATATGCACTGCAGAATTTTGTTCAGGGATCCCTGTGTCAATAGGGATCAGAACATTTGTTATTAAGCAAGACATTGTGTGATCACAATTTGTGGCCTTCCATGCTGGCTCCCCTGCTCTGCTAGTCAGAAGTTGTCTGGGAAGCTCACAGGTGGTGATTACATGATCCCAGAACACTGCAGCTATCATAAATATATGCCAGTTGCCAAGCACCCAAACCACGATTATGCGATTGTAGGAGTACAAAACCAAATTGTGATTATGTGACTGCAGTGTCACAATATTCCTCAGTGCAAAAACCAGTCGTAACTTTTTCCAACACCTTCGTAACTTCAAATGTCACCAAGTGAATGGGTATAAGTCAAGGACTACCTGTAATACAGCCTTACTAAAACCTAACTGTTTCAAAAAATTTCCGCTGCCTGAATATCGGCAAATTTCCAAATCACATCTGATGAATAGAAACTAAAACCTCGCCCACCTATCCACTTTGCTGCTCATTTCCTTTATGTGCTTTTAAGATATAGATGTAAGAAACAAGCCTATCAATTTTTCTGAATCCTGGATCTTCAGAGGACTAAAGTTCTCTAGATCCAGATTGGAGAGTGAGAATTTCAATCTACTGCTAAATATATTTGCAAACTTGCAGATTGGAAGGATGTCTAAATACTCTGAGCACCTTAAATATAAAAGCAGGATGAGCCTGTTCCATTTAGCAGCCCCGGTTTTTCTGGGGTTATTATGAAAGACGTAGCTGTCCCCCTAGATGTTGGGGTTGGAAGCTAAGTGAGCCTATTGGCTAATGTTCTTTATAAAGAGTTGCTGCAAAGATATAAAAGATGACTGTTTGTTCTCGTGAAAGAGATGGATAACTGGCCATTATTCTCTATGCAGGTTTATTTCTCCGCTGGGTCCGTTCGTCCCAACATCTTGATGAAGCTTGGGCAGAAATTCAGCAAATAGCCACAAATAGCCAAACCTACTCACAACAGTTGCACAGAGCAATGTGAAAGTAGACTGCAACACCCCTTTTTAGATGAAGGAATCAAAGAATTAGCTGGTAAAGGTCACCCCAAAAGAGGAGCGCTGAAAACAGAGGGAGGGTGCTGACACAGAGCCACCAAGGAGAAAAATGAGCTCTTCATCTGTGGCACAAAGAACTCTGCGAACATGTAGATGTATTTCCCAAACCTATTTTTTTAACTATTACAAATAAAATACAGCTCTTTAAATCCACGTTTCAGATCAAAGAAATCCAGAACACAAGATCAATCTTCCTGGTAACGAGTCATCTGAATGCTCATATGTAGCCACCCCAACTTGGAGCCAATAGCTACGTTTAGACAATAAAGTTGGCATGGCTAAGCTTTTAAAATGTTAACATTAGTCAAACCTAAACCAGTGCTGGATGGGGAATTCTGGGCGTTGAAAGTCTACACAATCTAAAGTTGCTAAGGTTGAAAAATGCTGCTCTACTCCAATAAACTGATCCAATAACCTCACAATATATTGTAAAACCTGGTGTATGTCTAACCTGGGCTTTACTTAACAGAACTGTCAATATGGAAACCCCTAATGATTATAACACTGAATCCTGAAGCCAACAAATCATACACACGATGGAAATAGTAACAGTAAATCTACTTGTACCTAGCTAACACATTCATACGTATTTCTTTTCATTTTTGTAAAGGAAGAATTTATTATCTCTGTCTCATGTTATAAATATGACAACGGGAGCTGTTCCAAGAATGTACAAGTAAAGAGATTCTCCCACAGAGAACCAGCAGCTCCAGCAGATCACCCTTTGCTTCTTGCCCTTAAGCATTGCTCAAGACAAGCCAGATCTCTGTCCTGATGGAACTGCAAAGACCAACGAAGCATCGGAGGACAAGGAAGCAGCACTCAAGCTTCAAACTCAAATTCAAAGTATTGGGGGTCAAAGTAATGGATGCGGACGTAGCCATCCTCTCCGCCACTGCTGTAACTAGAAGCAGAAGAAAAGGAGTGAAATTCCTGATGCTCTTGGTCCTCGTCTTGATGAAGGAGGCATCACTGCTTCAGACAGGAAGGCGGTGCAGAGAGTGGTGAGAATGACCAAAAAGATCATTGGCAGTTCCCTCCCTCCCATCCAGGACATAGCACAGAAGCGCTGCTTGAGCAGGGTCCGTAAGATTATCTGGGACACTACACATCCTCTTCACGACCTGTTTTCCTTGTTACTTTCTGGGAGGGGGCTTCGTGGTATCCAAAGCAGAACATCTAGATTCAGCCAGAGTTTCATTCCATACAGCATTAACCTTGCGAACTCTCAAGCTTCCTCCTTCCGTTATATATTCAAGATGGACAATATTTAATATTTATTTGCTACGTATATGTAGGGTTGTGGGTCTATACATATGTTGTTCATAGTATGTTTAGATGTGTGTCATGTATGGGTTTCACTTTGAGAGCGGGCAACTAAATTTCATTTTTGATGTGTGCCATTGTGCCCACAGTATAAAAATGACAATAAAGGTTATCTTATCTTATCTTAAATGTATTCTTTCAAAAGGAAATTTCTGACCCTCCTAAAAGTTTTTTGCAGGCTGAGAAAGAATGGCACTCCAAAAAGGAGAAATTGAGAACTTATTTAGAACCAAAGACAGCTGGAAGGTTCCAGGCAGGAAAAAGATGACCTCTTTTTTCCTCCTTGAAAGAATGTCAATAGGGTCAAAGGACCCTATTAATTGTATTCTGCTGTCATGAACCCCTTGGAAGGAGAACTCATATAAAATCAGTTAATCATAAAAGCAGAGAGGTAGGAATCCTGTTGGGAAACACCCAGGTGGGTGGGTGGGAAGTCTTAAGTGGGGAATTAGCCTTAAATGGGGAATTGTGCAACCTCAAGACAACTGACTCCTCCTAAGCTCCCTCAAGCCTTATCTATCTTTTCCCAGGGCAAGATAGGCAGTCTAGGGAGATTCCTGGCTAATAGGCAGAATTTAATAAAGTAGTTAGCTTCAACACTACATACGTGGCTCTAGTTGCTTATGCCTGACAAATCCCCTTGCATTGCACATAGATATTTTTTTTACAACATTGCTTACTTTGGCAGTTTTGTAATATTTCCAACTACAGAAAAGGTGGTAAGAATTTGGTTACCTTCAGGGGATACATAAAAAGGAAGACAAAACCAGACATTTATGTTACAGAGTAGGATTTAATCCATACCTGGATTAGCAACACATGGATGTTGTTGGGAAAATACCTTCCCAAACATGATTGTAATATGCCTGGTCTCTCCATAAAGACAGTCGGACAGGGGTCTTACCTCTGAATGCTAAAAAGTTTTGGCAAAGGGCATTTTTTTCTCATCCCGTGCAATTAGGATAGTTTATTTGCTTGATATTGCTCTGGTGCATAACATGGATCTTCTATCATATTGTTGCTTTTTTTAAATCTTCTTTATTATTCAAACCATGTTTACCTTGTTTGCAGTCCCAACGGCTCTAAAAGTGGTGTATGAATATTGCAGATCTAAAAGACATGATATTGTCTGGTGCAAACAATCAGGACCATCGATTAGGTTGCAGCATAGAAGATTTAGTCAAGCCTATAGACAAAAATCTGATCAACTAAAACTTCAACACTAAACTGGAGTACAATAAGGGTCAATGGACTTCAGGAGGGGTTGGACTGGGAGCACTTGTGGGAATGCAATGACTCTAAGTTGATGGTGCGTTTAACTCCGCTTGCGCATCTGTGCCTGTTCCTCTCCTTCAGATATGCAGAGAAAAGGTATGAGAAAGAAGAAAAGAATAATTGTATCCATACAACTTCTACCTGACTTGTCTCACTCACACCATTAGCAGGCAGTTGGAAATTAGCAGGAAATGCTCAGGCTGGATGCTAATAGAAGGACATGTTTTCCCTAAACAGAAAAAGATTATTTCTCAGCACCAACCAATTAAACCTCAGGGTATATATCTTTGCCTAAGTAAAATCCTTGCAACGTTATACAATATGATCACGTTGTTCTGCGTTTTTGCCAAAGATTTCCTTAAAATCACCAATGGGTGCCACTTATCTTTCCCTAGATTGCAGGATATATTAAAGCTGCAAAGACTGTACATAAAAGCCTGATTTTCAATCTGTAAATAGCTTGTAATTTGGGATAAAGCATGTTATTACCTACATCAAAGCTTCTGCTTAGTTGCCTGCTTGAGATATCAATTAAGGAAAGTGTCTGGTGAAGGCACATGAAACAAATAGAAACTAAACTCATAACTCAGATCACCTGTAGATTTCAGAGACACCATCAATGAAACTATGATATGCTACTACATCTCCCACCACACCCCATGATCTCTGTTTTTGCAGTGGCCAAAAAGAAAAGATTAGCATTTTCATCAATTGCTATAGCATCCCTTTTGCAGATTATGTGCCATCAAATCAGTGTTCACATATAATTTGATCCTGGTTAGTTGTGCCTCTAGTGTTAGGTACAAAAGACTAGGTCCATACATTCAGTTAGGATTGTTAAAAGTCTATGCACAGGATCTTCTCAATTAACTGCCAGCACCTAGTTAGAGTTAGATAAGGGTCAATGGCACTCAAGAACAGCTGGACATAGTTCACTTGTGACTATGTATGAATTCTAGGCTAATCCCCTTTTTTACCCCACCCCCAGGTTCTGCCATTCCTGCTCCAATGAAAACTGTTCAGCCATCCATCTTGGCTCTCCAACATTAAAGTTCAAAAAATTTCTATCCTGCTATAGACAAGTAGATAGATGGACAAATATTTCTAATAGCTTCCATATTTAAAAAAAAAAAGCTTGGGTTTCATAACATTCTTTGCCAGACCATTTGTGGCAAGACTGAAGCCGTACTCTTCTTTATCTGACTAAATCCTCAACACCACCACCCCATTAGACTGCAGCACGAGAACATAAAAAGTTTCTCTTCATGCTTTTTTAAAAAGATAGTTGTAAAATAAAGCTGGGGAGGAAAATGAAAAGACACTTAGAAGTAGCACAATTGTATTTCATCATAGCAAACTATCTTGTTTGTTCTTTTTCCCCAACTACAAATACATATCAGAGAATTGATTTGTGGTGGTTATGCTGACTTTTATAGAATCCAAGGTTTTGTAGGTGTGGGTGTCAGTGAATATAAGAGATGTCTGTCTAACCATAGTGAAAACAAAGATGGGAACGTTTGCCTCAGAAGTGAATTTTGAAAATTCCACAAAAAGGCATATCTCAAACAAGCTGCATGTCTCAGGCAGACTGGCCCAAAAGAAAAGACTGCAATTCCTGTCACAACAAAAGAACTTATTCCTGTTAGCAATAATACTTCATAAGAGAGCAAAGGATATAATGTGGAAAGACTGAAGACCCTAGAGATGTTTTTCTGTGATTGGTCAATAATATTGACTTTGTTCTCTTTCTTCTAAAGAGAAAAGTGAAGAAAAAAATATTTTTATCTGTTCAAATAATTCTTGGAGACTGACTGGACAAGGGCCTGAGTATTTCTCAGCAAGGATTTTCAAAAGTGGTTTGCCACTTTGCCTCCTGCCTAGGGCAGAGAGAGAAGGTCTTGCCCAAGGTCACCCAGCTGGCTTTGAGCCTAAGGCAAGACTAGAACTCGTGGTCTCCCAGTTTCTGCCCTGATGCCTTAACCACTACACCAAAACTGACTCTGAAAAAAAAATAGGAGGAAGCAAATTTAATAACAGGCTTTCAAGCAAAATGAAACTGTTTCTCAACCAAAATTAGAAGAAAAGCAATGCCCCCTAAGCAACTTTGAGAAGGCAATTACATTAATTAAGTGGTGCTAAACAAATCTTTTTCTTCAAGCAGGGGTCCTCTTGATCTTGCATTGAAACCGGGTCTCATTTTCCAACCAGGTTGCTCACCAGATGTGTTAGAATAAGCTAAATATGCATTACACTTACAATTGGGTGAGAAGCAGTAGGCATCATAGCTCAGCATTTCTTGTGAGCACCAGGTGGAAGAAGGAAGGAAGGAAGGAAGGAAGGATAATTTTTTTCACACGTTTTAAGAAGGAGGGACAAATCTAACATAGTAGCAAGAGGCTGCCTCTTGCCTCCAAAATAAGCTAATATACAGATTAAATTTCCTTTAAATTGAACTTGGCCCCTAGTGGCTTCAGGGACATACCCTGCCATTTTCTTGGCAAGAGTAGAAAGACTTGCTAATGAC